CAATCGAGAATCTGTGGAAAGAACTGAAAACTGCTGTTCACAAACGCTCTCCATCCAACCTCACTGAGCTCGAGCTGTTTTGCAAGGAGGAATGGGCAAAAATTTCAGTCTCTCAATGTGCAAAACTGATAGAGACATACCCCAAGCGACTTATAGCTGTAATCGCAGCAAAAGGTGGCGCTACAAAGTATTAACTTAAAGGGGCTGAATAATTTTGCACGCCCAATTTTTCAGTTTTTTATTTGTTAAAAAAGTTTGAAATATCCAATAAATTTCGTCCCACTTCATGATTGTGTCCCATTTGTTGTTGATTCTTCACAAAAAATTACAGTCTTATATCTTTATGTTTGAAGCCTGAAATGTGGCAAAAGGTCACAAAGTTCAAGGGGGCCGAATACTTTCACAAGGCACTGTATATACTACAAATTCAAACAGTACTGTGTTCTGCTTAAAACGATGTTCAGTATGAGCATCATAGTCTTTATGATTACAGCAGCAGTGTGATGTCCTGTACCTCCACGTGAGAGTGCAGTAAGAGCTATGCCCGGGTCACTCAGCTTCACAAACGGAAACGTGCCCTCCTCCAGTCCCTTGCGAGCCACCAGAATATTCTTTGCACAGACATTCCCATGAACCAAGCGTTTTGTTTCCTAAAGGCAAAAACCTTTTTTTTTTTAGAAATGTCCTGTAAATTATGGTTTAGAGGTCATCTGACATTTTATATATCAAATCCAGATCTGTTTTGCTGAACTGTTTTACACCTACAAGATAACACAGTGCACTGGCCAGCTGTTTTGCCACCGTAAACTTCCACTGAGGTGTTACACGAGCCTTCTCTTTGTGCAGGAAGACATCTAGGGGGCCAAACTCGACAAACTCTTCCACCATGATGTCTGTTCAGACACAAAGAAAAAAACTCCAGGTGTAAGTGAACTGGAATTGAAATAAAAAATGCAAACAGGGCTATATGATAACATGCAGTAATAACATTAAAGGTGTAACAGATTGAAAGTCATCTCCTGAGTTACGTTAGAGAGCTGTGAGAATGCAGCAGGTGCATAGAACTTTATGTACACTCTGATGATTGTTAGGGCAAAAGAGGAAATCTCAAAAGAGCACACCACTCACTCTCAGATCCCTTGACTGAAACACCATGCACAAAAACCAGGTGACAGTGAGACACCTGACTCATGAGGCTAGCAGTCTCAAAGAACGCCTGCAAAACAGAAGTCAACAGGACGAGTGATTTATTGTATTAATGTAGGATATTGGGTTAAATTACCGTGCTTTCCTGCCATATCATGGACTGCTGATGAAACAGCTTCTCTCACCAGTGCTATGTCCTTGTGGCTCTGATCCAGGATCTTCAGAACCACACGAATGCCTTTTTCATTGGTGTGATTATTGTTCCATTCATCCTCATCATCTTCCACTCCACTGCGCACCATCAAGCGACCTGAGTATATGTTGGTCCTAGTGCCGCGGCCTAAGTGCTGCTCCTGAAAATTCAAATCATACAGAACAATTAAATAAATAGCAACATATAGCATCATAGCATCAAATAAAAATGAAAAAAAGTAACATTCGATGTTGAGGTGAAACTAACCTGTATAATCTCTTTGTCTTTAATCTGATGGAATCTCAGTTGGCACAGGTTGAGGGTTTCAGAAATAGGCTTGGAGTGCATGCCCTTTCTCATTACTAGGAGGTTTGACAGCTCTGTAAACATGCAACAATGAGCAAGATCATGAAGACGACGCATGCTTATTCTTGAGGAGACTTCCGAAATATTCTTAGTTGGAAACGTTTGCATTTAACTGTAGTGCTTCCCACACATTGCTGATACTTTGGTGTGATGCCGAGGAATACTGACGCATCATACTGCAGAGTGGCACACAAAAAAGCCAGACAGAGCTGAGAAACATTCTCCTTTTCGAATAATGCTTAAGTCAGCTTGTGTCAAGTCATGGTACAGCTACAGTTTGTCAGAGGAGCCGCTAACATTAGTGCGCTCTCTCTTTCTGCACACATGATGATATTCAGTCATCACCAACAAAGTAAGTTGCATATAAAACAGTAACATGATGAT